AGACCACAGTTGATCATGAGTAACAAAACTGTGCAAAGCCAAACCTCAGATAAACAGAGGGTACTACACAGTCAGGAATATTAGAAATGATTTATTTAAATAATTTTGAAGAAAACAGCAACATTTCATACACATTGTACAAAATGGCATGAAATGTTTTATATTAACTAATAATGAAATAATTTCCTCAGATCATATAACTTGTTATAGATTGAAATAGTCACTTGAAAAATTTCATAAGAAAAAAGGTTCTTGTCATCTGTATCACCACGCCTAGCCTCTGGCACTGGGGACCCGGGAGCCTGCGTCCTTCTCAGGCGATCTGAGGTCCCACGTGCAGCAGCTCCGCCCCTGGGTCTTGCCAGCAAGAAGATGTGCCAGTTCACCTTTTAACATTACGGAATGGCCGTATGGATAACAAAAGCAAGGATGGGCAGCAGGGGCACAAGGTGACAGCAAACCGGAGGCCCCAGGGGCTGCTCTGAGTTTAAACCTCAGGAACTTTATTAAACAATTGATAGCACTACTTTATCAGGCATCTCACACACTTTCAAAGCCTTGTTGCTAAATGATTAAATTCAACACTGACTGCATAACCATCATTCGCAGAATGATAATGCTCTGGTAATTTATCACAGTACAATTAGCTGTACGCTCAAGCACATACAACAGTGCTACTTCACAATATTAAGCGATCGTAGATACACATCTGTGTGAAACCAGGAGGCACTGAAGATTCTTATATAAAAGAAACTAAACTATCATTTAGTTTTTAAAGAGAACTGAGAACATCTTTAGAAAACTGGTAAAAAATGCATATACTTAAGCAGATGAGTATATTTTTCATCCTTCAGACTTAAAAAGTGTTCTATACAACTGTGTAAAATTTTTCTCTTAAGATATGTGAGTCTTGAAAAATATTATGAATGTGTAATACTCATTATTTAAATAAATGCTTTACATTACTGTTAGACAAACATTTTTAAGTAGCCAATAAATTTAACCATGTTTAAAAATATACAAGTGTTTTAATATATGAAGCTCAAAGATGCAAAGGTGGTCCTAAACTTTATAAAGTTCTTTCATTGCTGAAGAACTCAGAAACTTTAACAAAGATCTAGTGAATCACTGAGCTTATGTACAAAATGGAGCCCAGTGGCCATCTGCTGACTGTGGGTGAGTGTTCTCTGGTTCTAGAAGAACCAACTAAACTCTCACACCCCTTGCACAGGCAGATCTTCTTTCAAAGGCTTAGAAATATGTAGCCCCGTTCACCAGTGAGTCCGCCCATGATCCATGACCTGCAATCAACCAATCAGGAGCAAAGACTGCATCTCTCATGGCAGGCAGACCGGACTGGGAACCTGTTGGGAGCCGCAGCCGAGCCCGGTCGCCTTACTTGGCGGACGTGATGCCTGTAAGAAGGAGCAAAGCCTGAGCTAGATTACCCCTCCCATCGAGTGTGCTAAGATGGCGCTTATCTCCTGCTTCCTGCTTGGTAAACAACCCGCTCTGTAAGATAGTCTGCCTAGCAACAACTGATGTTAGCCAATCAGCCCGCATCGCGCGCTTTGAACTGATTGGCCACTGTAACCCTATAAAAGTGAGTGCCTCTCCCGCCACAAGAGAAGAAGCACGGAAGGAGCCACGGAGAGCGGACCGGTAGAGGCTTCAGGACAGACTGTAGAGAGAGAAGCACGAAAGGAGCCACGGAGAGCGGACCGGTAGAGGCTTCGGGACAGACTGTAGAGAGAGAAGCAGGAAAGGAGCCGCGGGGAGCGGACCGGTAGAGGCTTCGGCCGGGAAGAATCCCGGGGCAGACTGTACGGAGAGGGAAAATAAAGAAAGCCCAGCCACTGCCAGATCTTGTCGTGTGTTCTTCCTGCCGGCCGGGAGCGACACCGACAGGAACCTGGACAGGACATTTCTCTGGGCTCGCGAGACCTTCCTGACCCTTCAGAAAATACTTGCCCTTTGTGGGGAAGGCCACACCTCCACTGCTGGTGTACTATGTGCTCACTGAAACAAAATGGGATTTTACTGATAATCTCATGTTCTTTCGAAAGAATCAACACTTAGTTACTATTCCTCTACATTCCAAATGGTAGCTTTTGTCTGGGGATTATGATCTTGACAATGACGACATGGAGAAGGACCTGCAGCACCCCTAACCCAAGCGGGAGAGCACAGCAGTCATACAGAGTCTCTCCAAAGTTCAGGTAAACGAGGCACACAGCTGTTAATTCGAGGAAAGAGTTTGCCTAGCCATGGGAAACTAACACTGTGGTGATTAAAAAATGTCCAAACGACCTGCAATTAAGAAAGAGAACACATCAAAGGGTTCAGGCCTTTACTCTTTTCCCTTGCTTTTTCCCTGATTAGATAAAGAAAGGGAAACTCACAGAAGCAGTCAGATCCTCATTCAAACGTTTGTGACCTCACAGTATCTTCCATATCACCCCACGTCGCCTCCCTAACATAAACGAACAGGTGTGAGGAGGAGCTACTGCTGCCAGGGTCTCCAGCCTGGGCACGCTGAGGGGAGGCGGACGGGAGACCTGGGCAGCGGAAGGAGCCGCCATTGCTGTGAGCCGTGACATTCTGCAGCCCATGGTCAGACAGCAGTCTCTCCCAGCCTCTATCAACTTCAGATGTCACACAGTGGTAGGTTCTGTTACAACTCCCTTTCAAAGCACAAATCTTAATCCCTGGATTCTCACCTATCACAAGTGCCATACAGAATTAACATGAAGGAAAGATAGCAAATCTACCACCACTGCTGGGCCCAGATCTTTGGGGTGCTCCTGTCACAGTAGGGCCCCGCATTGCACTGGTCTAGGTTGCCAGTTAACTCTTCTTACACCCTTCCTTCTTTCCTGTAGGACAGAACAGCAGTGTGGCTGCATCCCATTGGTCCTGCACAACATAAGCAGAGTGAGCCTAAATGTAATGAGACATTTGTAGACCCATACACTTTTCCTAATCCTTACAGACACTCTATAAATGAGGTGCTATTGTGGCTCTGACTTTGTAGATGCACAATGCATCTCCTTGGTTGAAAAATCAGCAGAACAGGTACTGGTGTCCTAAGTACAAACACAGAAAAAGTATCGGCCAAGTGGTCACCCATGCTGACCCTTACTGTGAGATACCATATCAGAGTTCTATGTTATGGATACGTGTCTATAAAGTAATTTGTTAACAGTGATTAAAACTATACTTAAGGCATCAGTATATTACTTTATACTTATTCTGTGACACAATTTGCTTCTTGAACTCCGAATGATTTTTGCTATCATATTCATGTTGCTGCCTCTCATTGGGGGGGGGGTGTTTTCCTTGCATTTCTGGGGCAGATTAAGGCCCCTCTACCTCTGGCTGCAAGGCCCAGCTAAATTCCTAATCTGGGTGATACCTTGATCCTGCCAGGCCAAGGTTAAGATGTTTTTAAAGCTTTAGAGAAATAAGAGAGATGTTTCCCCAGTTATAATTTGCAGGACTTCAGGAATAAGTTTGCTATTTTTAAAAATTTGAAGTCACCTATCTGACCTCTTTAAATTCTCATTCATAACAGTGTCCTGAAACGTTGCTAGCATTTACTAGGAATTTAAACAGCACATCTCTTAATGCCTCTTGCGAGACGTGATAAACATGTGAAAGAGGCTCACCGCTCCTGGCATCTCTAGGCTTTCCCTGGAATTTTCCTCATTTGCATTCAGTTGATGAAACAATGAAATTGGAATGTAAACTTGGGGAAATGCATCAGAGGCACCTGATCCTGCTTCACGGTCATCATTGCCATTGCTGTGGTTGTATATAAAAATATTAAGCAGAGACCCTGAGGACTAGGAGACTTGCTTCCTGCAGCTAAGGACACTGGAGCCCCCACAGAAATCAGCATGCTTTCTGCTGAGAGGCGTCTGTGAACACAAGAAGTGGTTTACAGAGAAGTCTTCTGAGTTTTCACCATAAGCTGACAGGGCTAAGGGTACAGCATCCCAAAGTATGACTGGAGGAGACCAGCATTTTATGCCAAACATGACTTTTCCACATGAGGATTACTTTGAGCCATTGTAGACATAGGGAAAGCCCTGAAAAGTTACCCTACTCTAAGCGAAATTCACATCTATAAAGGAAGTCTCCCTGGCCAGATTATCCTTCTTTGTATCAAGAACAGACAGAGGACTAAATGTTTAGAAATTCACATCAAAGAAAAGGACTAAGTTAAATCTGCAGAGCAAAACCTTCCTTGTGTCCACCTTTCTCCTGGTGTCCTCATCCTAGCCAGCCTTCCAATGTCACTCTTTTTTGTTTCATAGGACAGGACAATGGTCCTGAAGTCTGAAATCTACATTTCTTTGCAATCTCCTTGAGATCACGCTTCTCCACTTTGCTGCCCATGTATACATGAGGTAGATACGTTGAGAGGCTTTCATTTTATCCTCTCATTACAGGCAGTCCTAGCTAAGAGCTTGTGAACAGTGGAGAGTAAAATTGTTTCTCCCCTCTAGATCAGGGTCCCTCCATCCTCCACCGTGCAGGACTAGAGCCAGGAAGGGCTGTGTGCATTTGAATGGTGCCCCTTTACACCCAGTGCTATCATTAGGAAGGTGTCAACTCTCACTGTGCAATGCGGTATTTCAGTGTATCATTAGCTTTCCTGATATATGTCGGTTTATAACTCTTCTGAAAAGCCTGCAAAATCATTCAGCTTAGCAATTATCCAGTCTATTACATACTTGGGGAGCACCTTCTACGTGGCAGAAGCTACTCGGGCTATGAACTGCTAGATAAACACAGTGTCAGCTGTCATTTAACATACAATTTGCATAAGAAGACTTGAGAGCTGGAACTCAGAAGAGGATGCCCCAAAGCCTGGAGCTGGGACATGGTGAGAGGGCTTGGAAGCCGCCCCAGAATCAGGGCCCCTCAGACCTTGACTTGTTTCTGTCTCTCACTCTCAGGGAATTCCCATTTCTGACTTCTTTAATAAAAGCTTTGTGTTTGCTTCAGCAGCACATATATTACAGTTGGAACGATACAGAGAAGATCAGCGTGGCCCCTGAGCAAGGATGATACGCAAATTCATGAAGCATTCCATATTCTTTGCTGCATTAAAGATTTTTTGAGTTCATACTAAAAAAAAAGAAAGAAAAGCTTCTTCCAAAGCAGAGGAAATTATCTTAAATACCTCTCCCTAGAAATATCATCAAATGACTAGGAAAGGTTAATAGACTACAAGTCTCCATGCTCAGGATGGAATTTTCATGTATTCTTCTTGGAAACTCCCTGAGAGGCTACCTTGAAAGACTTACTCTGTGTAATGACAAGCTTTGTGCCAGCAGGCATTCTTCCTGCCACCGCTCCCAGAGCTTGACTTTACCGTGCTCCAAGGTATTTCTGCGTACCCAGGTCTCTACTCCTCTGGAACTGAGAATTATTTAAGCCTCACTCACTGGGTCCTTCGAGAGACTCTACTTCCTGTGTGGCTACAGCGCTGCGACTGTTAGTACTGTGCACATTAATACAGTTATATACTGTACCTTTTTATCCTAGTAACCCACCCTTTGCCAATTCAGTTTGGTGAACCTTCGAAGGATGAAGGGTGCTTTTCCTCTTGCTCTTTTATGGGGAGAACAATTCTCCAACCAGAGACAGAGCGCCACCACTGTACGCCGTCTGCTGTTCAGTTCTGAGGCAGACCCTGGCCAGCTGCATGCCAGGCTACAACAGACTGAGGTCATCTGTCACTGCCGGTTGATAGTGCTTGCTGAGATGGGTGGCATTCCTGATAAGGATGGGAATGAAGTCCACATACCTCATAATTTTCCCCATGAATTCTTTGTTTTTCCTTCAGTTTTTAGTGTTTAGCTTGCAGGCATATTTAAACCGTAGCTGGGCAGGCAGAGGAGAGTGACTTCAGAATGCAGCCTCCCGGAAGCCATGCCCTGCTCTGTAACAAGCCCTTAGCAACTCAGTGATTCACCAAGCCGACTAGTCTGAGTCATTCTTTGGTTTGCCAGCTTCCTTTTAATTCAGAGGAAGACATTTCTGTTACTTCTCAGGAAATTCTCAGAACATACTACAGTAGGAAGCCTCGTAAGAGCAGATGCCCTGGCAGAGAAGAGCTTTTCCACCCTCCCCTCCCTTCAGCTCACCAGTAAGGCGAGAGCAGGAACGGAGCAGAAGTGCAACCCTGTGTGGGAACGAGGGGGGGGGACTGGCTGCCAGCATCTCGGGGTACCAGGAGAACCCACATACCACGGCTTAGAGCTGTGGCTGCACCTGTAGCCATGAACTCTTTAGGAAGCTTTGTGATAAACATTTGCTTTTAAAACACTTAACTTCCACCTTTTAAAAAATGCAACATTACACTGTCAATTTTATATAACAGACATTCTCCCAAAATCAAGAGCCTATTTGGGAGGAACCTTGCAAAGGGACTATGTGTGCTGTGGTAAAGTGTATGCATATTCATGGAGGGTACGGCAGGAAAAATAGAACACACACAGAAGAAATTCCCCTGTAAGTCAGTTTTCTATTACTACGACAAAAGGCCTGTGATAAGTAAAAAGGTTTATCTGGCTCATGGTTTTGGGAGCTGCAGTCCATAGTTAGAGGGCTCTGCTGTTTTAGGTCTATGGTGACAACATTCATCATAGCAGGAGAATATAGAAGAGGTCTGTACCCCTCAGTGGCAATAGAGAAGCAAAATGGGGTCTCACCTCCTCCAAGAGCACCACAGCCTGGGGATGATTCTTCCAATATGTAATTATTTGAGGGACATTTAAGATACAGATGATGACATCTGCATAAGTATTCCGAGCTACTAATCCTCGACCACAAGGACCAACATCACCTGCATTGACCCAAAAGGCCTGCATTTCCACTGGGAAGTCCATGATTCCATGAAAACACTGCATTACAGGTCTAGAAATTAGCAAAATGAAGGGCAGCCATGGAACAGATGGAAAGGTAAGTTATCCACAACAACAACAAAAAGACTCCACGAGACTGGATAGACATTGAGAAAGGACACAGAAACTGTTAATCCAATTCTGAGAGTTTCCTCTATCATGAAATGCCCAAGTTTTCAGACCCCTCGGGGAGTTTCTGAGGTGGGCTGTTTATCCCTGTACCAGCCCACAGCGCAAGAGGGGAAATGGAGGAAGAGGGACACGCTGTGGTTCTTCAGGCTTCATTTTGTTTCCAAACGCCAGACCTTGTTTTCTTTGAAGGGTGAGGCACCTCAGACAAAGGTTTGGCTGGGTGACATTTAAGTGGTTGGGGCGGGGTGGGGAGGGGGCACCCCACTATGAAGGGCTAACACGCTGATGCTCAAAGGACACCTCCACACGAGGTTGTAGAGTCCGTGAGCCTGAGCGCTGATCCCTTCCACAGCCTTTCTTCTTTGTTCTCTGTTCCTTCCATTTTCTTTCCTTCCCTTCCCTGTGAAAGTTCCTGCAGTTCTCCAAATGCATCCTGATGTGAAGGGCATTTGAAGGGTGACCCTCCTGTTACTGTTCTTCAGGGCATGATGCTTGCGAAAACCTGCAGGAGCCTCTTTGCCTGGTCAGGCGGCCTCCCACTCGTTGGGAATCAGGGTTTACATAACACTAGAAATATTCCCCGTTTGGTTAATCGAGCACTGCTGCTCTTCTCTTCATGTCAAGATAAGGAGATAGCATAACAGGAAACACTAGGATTTTCAGAGAGGTAAAATACCTGCGTCCTCTGTTCCTTTCCAATTAGCCCATGAACTGTACCTTGTTTTCATAGGGCAGAACCCAGAGGTCAGGAATTAGGGTGCTGACTTGTGGCAAATTATTCCCATTTACAGACAAACAGCTTATCAGAAGGACCAGCAGTGCTTACGAGGGATAATTTGAGAGAGCTGGTCTCAGAGGCAGAGAGAAATGAACTGGGCAACATCTACTTGCTACAACTTAAGCTCACAACCTAAGGGAAAGGTTTTGTATGGGTTGGGTCATTGAAATTTTGAGGCTAAACATCTTATTTATTACACTAAAATTCTAATTCAAGAAATGCAATTTGTGTGCTCCCAGTTATCCCATCAGACAAGATCCAGCCAGCCTAAGCTCAATGGTTTCGAGGTTTCAGTCCATGGGGGGTTGACCGCGTACCCTGGTTACAGCAGGTCATGGCAGGAGAGCATGGTGGAGGAGACCTATGCATCTCATGGTGGCCAGGACTCAGCACAAGTGGGAAGGCCAGGGTCCCAGTATCTCCTTAGAAGGCTCGCCAGATGACTGAATTTCCCTCACCAGGCCCTACATCCTAAAGGTCCCACCACTTCCCAAGAGCACCATGCATCAGTGGTGACAAAGCCATTATTAGCACAAGGGCCGAAGGGAACATTTAACAACCCTGAAGGGAGATGGGGGGGGGGGTAAAGGGAAGTAAAAAAGGACCAAGATGTCACAGTGACTTCCCCATAGTGAAGGTATTTATTATGTATTGCAAACTTACACTGGTAAAAAATTTTAGCAATGATCCAAACCTGAATCCAACATAAGATTCAGGATCTGCTACCCCCAAGACATAGCATCTCAACATTACAGAAAACCGGAAAAGTAGGAACTGCTTGAACAAGTAGTTAAAATGGTTTTTCTTCTGTTCATCTGTCTATTGTCCATGTATTCTTTGGACTCAGTTATGGAATCTCCAGAGAGCAGAGAGAAAGTTTTCTCTTCTCCACAGCTTCATGCCTGACATAAGCTGAGCCTTACCCTGCATCTAGGATATGCTTTATGGTTAGTCCAAAGGAGCCTTAAAGCGATTCACAGAAAATGTAAGATAAACACCAAGAAATGCCATGAGATGAGGCAAAGTAGGGTCATCCAAGAGGGCCTGAGTGCAAGCATACATCCCACACGACCCCAGAGGGACTTCCCATCTAAGTGTACGCACACGGACACTGGAGCATGTGGTGTGTGAGAAATGCTCGTCGATACTGCTTTCCAAAGCTACCAAAGGTCGGAGTTTCCAGCTCTTTGTCTTTGTGCTAATTAATGACTAAACTCTCTCTTCCTTCTTTGGCTATTTACATTAATCCAGAGAGATATAGAACTGACGAAATCTTCACCCTGCTGTTTTCCCTTGCCACACACAATCCATGTAAATGACTGTGTTATTTTTTCCTCCAAAGCCAGCTTCAGGAAGACAAAACTTCCACCCACACCCCAACTTCCCACACATTGGCTTTAAGAAGCCAGTCTAAATTGAACTCTGATTTATAAAGATAAGTACATAATCTCACAAATACACTGAGTCCTGGGGGATAAATGCCAGGATCACAGAATGATAACCTAGCAATCACCCCTGGCCATCTCAGGGAATCTGCAGAGTTGCAGCTGGGCTGTGAAAGCCCATCTCTGCATTCATGTCTTTCAAGAATGAACAAGCAGGGCTCCCGCACAGGGGCAGAAGCGACAGGTACACCTATTTCCAGAGCATCAAACTTTCTAAGATCTAAGAGTTATTACACTGGTGTCTAGGAGACATTGCATTTTACTTCTTATGACAGATGCACAAAGAGTTTAAACTAGAACTGAATGTTTTTGTAAGTTTCTAAGATGAAATAAACAACAAAAAACTTCAAGAATGCTTGGGCCCTCCAGCAGAGCCCTCTCAGAACACATTCCTGAAGGCTATGAAGGGCGTTTCCTACTCCATTGGACAGTTAGGGAGGGGACCAAAACAGGCTCCCTGTCCAGCAAACAGGCAAGAAGAGCATCATTTGAAAGGTGCACCCTCAGAGCAGAGCGTTTCAGCCTCCCAACAGACCAGACAGTACTCCCTACTTGTGTGGGTCGCCTCGGCTGCTGCTTGGGGGTCAGGGATGAGGGCTGAGTCATGCTGCTCTTGTAGATGCTCCGTGTGCTGGTCTCCCGGAATCAAGAGAGTGCCTTTCAGATTCTTGGGTGAACTCCTTGACCATGCATCGATTACTCAGATGCACACCTGTGCTGCTCAGTCATGGCATCACCCAAGAGAGGTCCCCTGCACACAGGTCAGAAATAAGCAAGAGATGCTACCACAGCTCAATGCAGTGAAGTCACAACTGACCATATTTTTAAGTCCTCT